GATTGGAGTAGTAAGTCTTATAGTTATTTCATTAATGCAAAACATTTTTGGATGATTTTCCCTTTAGTAGATTGTGCTCAATGTGAACCTGGTGCCTGGGAATACAAAAGTGAAAATATACACAAGGTTTTTGCTCCTGCGGAACTGATGATTTAATGAGAGACCTACACTAAGTAAATAAATGCACATACATACATCATTTCCCATTGTGTCAAGTGTTATAAAAAAGAATGAAGGGAAAGATCAGAACTAGGGGCACTGACTGAGATGGGGTTTCCCAGAACAGGTGACTTGCAGGCTTGGAAGAAAACACCTTTCCATTAGTGTTTTCTTGAGATTTGGCTTCCATTAAGGGCACGGTAGAGACAAAACTCTTGTCTCAATTAAAAACATTTGGCTGAGCATTGCTCTCCATCCCTTTCATCTTTGGTGCTTGATGAGACTAAAATACTATAAAATATCCAGAGATAATTTTTTTGAAAAACATCCTGTTTTCAGTGTCTGAGTCACTCATTTGAAAGTGCTAGACTCAGAGTTCTACAGATGAACCTTTTCTGTGACAGTGAAGTTGATCCTGGGGAGGGTATAGGGTAGGTAAAAAGGGAGGGGGAAGACTTTGACAGTCCCCCAAGTGACAGTGGAGGGAATGTTCATTCCTTCAGGTAATTCTGGGTTCCCTGTGGGATGAGTGTTGATGTGGAAGAGAATGTGGGACAATAGTTAACTTGAAGCTACTCCATGCCCATGAAAAATTTTGAAATCTTCTGGTAGGAAACCCCAGGCCTATGTGAGTATTTTCCCCAGACTCTGTGAAGAGGAAAACTATGTGGGAGATGAGTATCATGAAATGGACCACTTGGGAGGGGCTCCAGAATTTGCATTTCCATCAAGTTCCCAGGTGATGCTGATCCTACTGATGCTGCACACCACCTCTGTAATCTCTTTCCTTGAGTCTCTCCCTGATCCCACTCTGCTTCTAATCTCATATGAATAATTACTTTTGCCCACATGTCCTATTGCTATTTCACCTCTCTATAATCCTACCTGATCCCAACTACCATCTCAGCTCATGTTTTGGTCATTTCTGAAATGAGTGAAACAAAGAAAAGATATTCTCTCTGCTTCTCTATAACCCAGATAAAATATCTGGCTTTAGGGGACAAGTAGGGTTACCCCATAGCTGTAAAAATGCTCTTTACATTTTGTCTTTCCTTGTCTTCATCAAGACTGTTTCAACCTTACACTTTTTCAGTTGCTGCAATATTTTCTTTTTCACTAATAGTTTCAACCTAAAACACACAGGTTATGGACCAAAACTGCATAATGTCTACATGGGTGCACATTTATAATGAAGTTTCATTATTTTAATTCCATGTTAGTGAGTCTTTTTTTGGGAATTACTTAACTGTTAATTTGGAGAACTCAGAAAAGTATTTATAAGCAATAATTATGCATTATAGTTTGGATTATGTCAGGATGGAAGTAGTAATAATGGCACAGAAAGGTGCTGTCCATAAAGCAAGTGCCATGTGTAACTGAAAAATTTCTAGTAGCCACATTTTAAAAAGTAAAAAGAAATGGGTAAATTAATTTAAAAATGTATTTTATTTAATTATATTAAAATGTTATTCCCTTCTATGTGTGATCACCATAAAGATTATGAATGAGATATTTACATGCTCTCTTTTAATACCAAGTCTTTGAAAGCCAGTATGCATTTTATTTATTTTTAAAATATTTATTTATACAAGAACTGGGGTACAGGCCAGTTGTGCAGGAGGGTGAGAGGATTCACCAGAGACAGAGCGGGGAACAGAACAGGCAGACTGACGAAATACACTGCGAGGGGAGCAGCGGGCAAGACAGGAGAGGTCTGCCTTGCCATGTGGGCATCTCCATGGCCAGTGGGGATCAAACCGGCACTGCAGAGGCTGTGGACAGCTTCACTTCGCTGCACTCAACCACCTGCGCCACCAGGGAGGTCCAAAGCCAGTATGCATTTGAGACTTGCAATCTGGACCAGTCCTATTTCTTTTTTTTTTTATATAGTTTAATAATTTATTTATTTATTTATAATTTTTCATTTTTTATTTTTTATTTTTTATTTTTTTTATTTTTTAAATAATAAATTTTATTTTTATATTCCCCATACAATTGCAGCCCCCCCATTCTGACCCCAATCCCTCCCCTCCCGCCCCTGCCCCCCTAAAAGTGTCTCTGGTTCATAGTTTTTTGTTGATTTTGATTTTCACTTTCTTATAGTTATTCATTTTCCTGGTCCCTTATTTAAGTTTTCTAGATTCCTGCTATGAGTGAGACCATCCGGTATTTTTCTTTTTCTTTTTGGCTTATTTCGCTGAGCATGATCCCTTCCAGCGCCATCCATGTTGCTGCAAATTGCATGTGTTTATCTTTTTTGAATGCTGAGTAATATTCCATGGTATATATGTACCACATGGGAGAACATTTTTGCACCCAACACTAATGATAAAGGACTGATCACAAAAATCTGCAAAGAGCTGATGAGACTCAACAACAACAAAGAAAATAATCCAGTCAAAAAATGGGCAGAAGAGCTAAAAAGAAACTTCTCTGAAGAGGAAATGCAAATGGCCAACAGGCATATGAAAAAATGTTCAACATCACTTGTCATCAGGGAAATGCAAATCAAAACTACCATGAGATACCATCTTACACCAGTGAGAATGGCACATATTAAAAAAACTAGCAACAACAAATGTTGGCAAGGGTGTGGAGAAAAAGGAACTCTTCTGCACTGTTGGTGGGAGTGCAAACTGGTCCAACCACTGTGGAGAGCTGTGTGGAGATTTCTGGACCTACTAAACATAGAGCTTCCATATGATCCAGCAATTCCACTCCTAGGTATTTACCCAAAGGACACAGAAACATCAATTCCAAAGAACACCTGCACCCCTATGTTTATAGCAGCACTGTTTACAATAGCTAAGCTTTGGACCAGTCCTATTTCAAATGCTCCATCTGCACATGCGCTTAGTGACTTCTCATGATCACAGACACAGCATTGTTTTCCATTTCTTTTGTGGCTGCCTGGGTTTAAACCAGGACATTTGAAAATTACAATAGTCTTTCAATATTGTTTAACCCAAATTCCATGCTGTGTAGATAAGAGATTGAGTCTAGGAGAGACCAGGTGACTTGCCAGAGTACATGGTGAGCTGGGACCGAGCGTGTTCCCTTGCCAGGGCTCTTCCAGACTGCACTCCCTCCATGGGGTGTGGTGACTCATGACACTTGTCTAGATGAAGAATAGGCCAAACTTGGCAAATGCTGCTTTGGGTACTTGCACTGCCAGTGACTGAAGATGGAATCGGTCTCATATCCTTTCCTTGACAAATTTGCTCACTCCCAGAATTTGTTTGACTGCCTACTATATGCTAGACACTAGGAATGTAAATATACTCTGAAGAATATACTCTATGGGGGGGATAGGTAACTACTACAGCTGTAGTTGCAGAGTTACAAAACATCATGTTAAGGGGTGCAACATAAATGTAAGTAAGTTTTAAAAAGCTCTGAGAGGACATATTCTGTGGAAGGCATATTCTGTCACATGGCAAGAGAAAAGAGGAGGGTCTAACAGAACAGACAAGATTGATTCCTAGACTGAGATTTAGACCTTTGTCCCTTCATAGAGTACAGTTGGTCTTTGAACAAAGCAGAGGTCAGTGACAATGACGACCCTTGCCATCAAAAAATCCATGTATACCTTTTTCAACTTCTCTGAAGAATAACTACTAACAGGCTGCTGTTGACAAGCTTTACCAATAATATAAAAATTGATCAACACACATTTCAATAAATGTATTTGTCGAATTAACATTGATTTACATCGTTGCTTCTCTGATAGAAGTGTTGGAGCCTCTCCTTTCAGGTTTCAAGGGTTCGTTTTTCAGTTTGGCTTTATCTAACCCTTCCCCCCGCTTCATATTCCACATGTAAGTGACACTACATGTCAAATACACCTGGTATTTGTATCTCCCTTTTGCTGATTTTGCTTAGTTTTATCCCTTCCTGCTCCATCCATGTTACCTTGAATGGCAAGAGTTTATCTTTTTTGATAACTCAATAGTATTCAATGGTAGATAGATAGATAGATAGATAGATAGATAGATAGATAGATAGATCACATCTTATTAATCCATTCATTTGTTTCTTGGCCTTTAGGTTGCTTCCATATCCTAGCTGTTGTAAACAAGGCTGCATTGAACACAGGCAAGCAGGTTTCCCTTTGAATTAGAAACACATTTTATAAATTATTTGTATTAATACAGTATTCTTCCCATGAAGTAAGCTAGCAAAAAGAAAATGTCATTGAGAAAATCATAAGCACATGTAAATACATCGACAGCGCTGTACTGTTTTTAATGGATCCAGTATTTGCCTCACATTTGCAAGACAAATCATCTGTCTGCCAGTATCGACATCAACACAGTCTTATGAGACAAAGCACTAATGTTATGCATATAATACCAGATATGAAAAATGCAAAGATATTGTTAAAAAGAAATTCATGTGTATTACAAGTATAACAATTCATGCATTGATAATATCTACTGAAAAACATCCACATATAAGTGGACCTGCGCATATTAGTTGTTCAAGAGTCAACTCTATATATTTAAGTTTGTAGTAGGCAACAGGAAAAATCAGTGACAACCAACCACACAGTTTGCGTATCAAAGAAATTTCTATCTGGTAGGGGAAACATGCCCAAATCAAGGTGTTAAGATTAATAAATAAGTTAAAGACCATGAAGACAGCACAAGAAACGGTATGGTGACACAGAGAATGATGGAGTGAGGGAGAGGGTCTTTATACTGGTAGGACAGAGGACTCCTCTATTTGAGATTTGGGTTAAAGTAAGATTAGTTCTCTTAACCATAATAGGAACATACTAAATAGATAAAGATTCAAAGATGAGTTTTTTACACTCATATGAAATCCAAAATGAATATTACCTGATCAGCAGGTGATCTTTTCCATGCAGTGATTCAGGAATCCCAGACCCTTCCATCTTGTGTCTCCTCAGTTTTCAACACGTGCTTCCACAGCCGCCATGTTCTTGGGTAGCATGGGGTTTCAGTGGGGTGGGTAGCCAACCTGGAGGTGGTGGTGGTATTTTTGCTCATTGTCACCTGAAAAACCTGACAGCAAAGAAGGCTGAGAAGTAAGGTCTAGCTGTGGGGATGAGGAAGAAGTTTGGCAAACTCTTAACTAGTTTCTGTTGCAATTCAAAGGATTGGAAGAACTTACCCTTGAGAGAATAGAGGGAAGAGTATTGTGCATTGGCTCTGAGGTGAGAAGTAGTGTGACATGTTTGAGGAGCTGAAGCAAAATAAGCAGGAATGGACCGACATGAGAATGGTGAAAAAATGGGCAAAGGTCAGAGGAGGAGAGCAGTTTGGGATTTAATCTATAACATTTACCACTTTTTAAAAAAAGATTTATTCATTTATACAAGCACTGGGTATAATCAGAAGTGCGGGAGGGTGAGAGAATTCACCAGAGCCAGAGAGGGGAACAGAACAAGCAGATTGACGAAATACGCTGCTGAGGGGAGCAGTGGGCATGGCAGGAAAGGTCTGTCGTGCCATGTGGGACCCTTGCTGGCAGCTGGGGATCGAACCCATGCTGCAGAGCCTGTGGACAGCTTCGCAGCCCAGCGTTCAACCGCTGCGCCACCAGGGGAGGCCCAACATTTACCATTTTTAAGTGTGCCCTTCAGTGGTATTCGGTACATTCATATTATGTGCAACCAGTACCATTAGCCAGCTTCAGAACTTTCTCATCTTCCCAAACTGAAATTCTGTATCCATCAAACACTAAGTCCCCACTACTCACACACCAAGCACTGGCAACCACCATTCTGCTTTCTCGTTCTCTGATTTGACTACATTAGGTCCTCATTTGAGAGGAATCATCTAATATTTTTCTTTTTGTGTCTGGCTTATTACACTTAGCACAGTGTTTTCAGTGTCTGTCCATGTTGCAGCATGCGGCAGAACTTCATTCTTTTATAAGACTGAATATTGCATTGCATGTAGTTAGCGTGTTTTGTTTACCAGTCATCCTTCAATGGACACTTGAGTCATTTCCACTTTTTGGCTATTGTGAACGATGCTGCTTTGGACACTGGTATTTGAGTTTCTGCTTTCAATTTTTTTGTGGGTAGGTATTAAGAAGATTTGGTGGATCGTATGATCCTACGATAATTATGTTTAAATTTTTGGGGAACCACCACCCAACTTCCCACAATGGGTAACCCATATCATACATTCCCACCAACACTGTACGGGGTTCCAATTTTTCCACATTTTTACCAACTCTTGTGACTTTCTTTAAAAAAATAATAACCATATAATGGATGTGAAGTGATATCTCATCATGGTTTGAATTTCTGTTTCCCTAATGATCAGTGACAGTGAACATCTTTTCATGTGCTTTTGGCCATTTGTATGTTTCCTTTGGAGAAATGCCCATTTTTAAATTGAGTTGTTTGGTTTTGGTGGTGTTGAGAGGTTTAGGATTTTACTCTAAGCACAAGAAAGCCATGGCAAGCTCAAGGGTATGGCATAAGCCTGTTTCCATTTCAGGAAGAACCCGTGCCTCTCTGAGTGATTGTGTCATTTTCTCCAGCAACACCGTCTCCTGGGTCCAGAGCAGTGTGGGCAGATATTGATGAGCTAAAAATGTACTGTAATTAGGGCAGAAGGTTCTGTTTTTCCTCCCCCAGAGTTCAGTAATGTCCTGTAGGACATTGCAACCTGGGCTGCTCCCATAAGATCCTGCATTTCCCATATACTGAGGCTGAAATGGAATTGGGATGGTGTGAGGACAGCTTCTAACCTGTGAAAGGTGATTCAAGCTTCTGGCTCGTTCAGTCTCCTGACAGTGGCAACCGGATTAATGTGGCAGTGACAGTGATTGCTGTGATCATGGAAGACACACCTGTTTCTTGGAAGCCAGTGACTTAGTTAATTCATTTCACACCAAGCAGATGGGAACAGTTGGACAGGAGTAAGAGATCAATGATGGGGCAGCAATAGGATTTCTTGACTCCCAAAAGGACTGTTTCCTTTACCACATATGCTGTTTCACCTTTATACAGCCCCATATTGTCAAGTCAGAACTTGGTATTAGACTTAATGCGGCATTGGACAACTTCACCAGTTTTTTACACTTTTTATTCTTCCCTCTGCTTTTGTTCATCCAGTAAGCTTGAGTGCATCAGTATTATTTGGAGGGTCTACCAAAACAGATTTTTGGGTCTGTTCTCATAAAACTGTTGACTCAGTGTGTTTGGGGTGGGCTCAAGAATTTGCATTTCCAATAAGCTCCCAGGAGATGCTGCTGCTGCTGCCGATTTGGGTCTAGTCTTCAAAAGCACTTAATGTAGCTCTTTGGGGTCACAGTGCAAACTGATGGAAAATCATTATAATCGCAACAGGTACATTTGCTGTTCACTGTGGCCTGTTGATCGACTACCTGTCTTCTCTGGTGAGGTTTTCTTCTGCACTTCAGTGTGCAAGTGTGTGTGTGGTGTGTGTGTATGTGTGTGTGTACACAGACATGTGGGCCATGATTTCTGAGGATACTTCAAAGTCTGCTTTTCTGTGCAGAAACATCAGGTTAAAAAGCCCCTGGCCTTTATATGGCTGGGAGAAAATAATTTTTCTATTGTTTGTTCATGTGATCAAAAGGAAAATGATATTGTCTCTGTCAGGCAGGAGTGCACAGGAATTAATAAACTCCATTAAAACCTTTGATTTCATTCATACACTTCATTAATATTAATTGAATATCTGTGTTGTGCCAGCTTTGTTCTATGTGCTGGAGACATGGCAGTAAACAAAACAAAGTCAGGCCCTGGTCAAGTCGAACCTTTTTATAAATGGCAGGAATAGGAAATAAGCAGGTAAGAAGGTAAATATGCTTTCTGTCCAATGGCCATAAATGCCATGGAGGGAAATAGAGTATGGGGGATGGGATGTGGTGGAAGTGGAGGAATTTGCACAGTCCCATGTGTTCCCGCAGAGGTTAAGTGGGCATCTCTGAGAAGGGGACAGTTGGACATAGACTTGAAGGAGGTGAACCATGTGGGACTCTAGAGCAGGGAGGGCATGTGCAAAGGCCCTGAGGTGGGAGCACCCTGACATTTCCAGAAATAACTCAGAAGCTAATGTGGCTGGTTTGGAGAAATGAAAGAGGAGAGCGTGAGAGAAAAAAATCAGAGCAGTTGCCAGGCTGCATTGGGTAGGACCTTATTCTATGTAAAGATTTGGTGAGGTGCCATCACTGGTCATTGGACAGCTTTGGGCAGAGGGGAGTGAAGTCGGATTTCCTTGTTAAATGAATCTACTTGGCTGCTGAGGTGAGTGGTGGGGGAAGGGGAAGCTCAGTCAGGATGCAGCTTAAATAACCAGGGCATGGGGTGATGGTTGGTTGGATCAGGATGTAGAGGTGAAGGTGATGACAACTGGTTGGGTTTTGAAGGAAGAGCCAACAGGATTTACTCCTTCAGGTGTGAGGCAGGAGAGAGAGGACCAAGCATGGTCCCAGGGTTTTGACCTGAGCAGCTGGAAGCACAGAGTTAACTGAACCAGGGAAATCTGCAGAAGCAGCCCGTGGCCCAGGAGTGTGTGCTCAGGAAAAAAAAAAAGAAAGCATAACGGCAATATTGGATATAAAAGAAAATTACTTAAATTCTCCAATCTCAACAGATAGTTTTAATTTTTAATTTTTATTTTTTCATGATTCTTTCCATTCTACTGAAGACAGAGTAATGGTTAACATTGTTGACTGGTCGTGGATAATATATGACCGGCGACTTGAAAAGCATTTCACAGGCATGACCTCATTGAACCCTGGAAGCACCCCAGGGTGAAGATACCAAAAGCTTAGACAGGTTAGATAACACCCAGCTACTAAGTAGGGGAGCTAGAGCGTTGACCCAAGGCTCTCTGACTGCAAAACTCATTCCCTGCTTTCTTACAGGTCTTCATATTTTTCAGGATATCTGCCTAACCCAGAGAACCCCAGGTCTCACAGCTTTTCTTTCTCTTTTGCTGAGAGAATTCTTCGTCTTCCACCTATTACTGTAATCTTTCAGGGGTCATTTTCCCTGGAATGTCTGAAGTAATAAAGCCAGTGATCAGCAGGGATAAATGTGGAATCTACAGCGAGGTTTATTAACTTGTAACAATGCAGGAGAGTGCTCCGGGGGACGGCAGAGCATCTCATCAAACACAGGAAGCCACAACCAGGTTATTACAGGACTTGGGGAAATGACAGGGATTTAGCTCACATTCAAACGAGGAAGCGTTTTAGTGGGCTCAAAGCAAAGCTGGGTGCTTGTAAAGGAATTAACATCTGCTTGGGCCAAGAGCAGACTCAGGGCGCTCTGTCCTTGGAAACTGTGGGGTTAAGAAAAATGTGAATGTTGTATCCAGAAACCCCTCATCTGGAGCTTTGCCCTTGGGTTGGAAATCCAGGTTGCTTCTCTGAATCTGAGATGCCCCAGATCTCCAGGCATGAGATGAGATAATACATTCTTACAGAGGTGATGTTGAACAAAAATGTTTTTGAAAGTTTATAATTTTAGGGAGTAATGACTGCTCGATCATTTGTCTTTTACTCATTAACAAAAGCAGCTTTCCATAGCTGCACGGAATGACACCAACTTTACTGCTCCTACTGTTGGTTTCTGTGACTACTGCTTTTCTTGCCAACTGGCCTGTCCACTCCTATAAGTTCCACTAACATCAGGCTGCGGCACAGCAGAGCTTGCTCTCATGTTTAGGGTCATGGGTGGGAATATGGTGAGATGAAGATGACCACATAAAGTTTCCATAGCAAGATGAATGTCTTAAAAATTACCCCTGCTTCAAATCCATTGCTCATCGGCCAATTCTTGCTTGTTGCCACTTTCTTAGGCCTCACACCCTTCTTGGGATTCTTTCTAGCTCTCCTACTTTCCCTCATTTGGGGGCTTTTCCATTTGACACAATATTCTCAAACACATCCACTTTCTTAATGTAAGTCATCCTACTCTTTCTTTCCTTTCTCCTTCTACATCATGACCTGAAAGAAGGTGGGTGATGACTTCCTCAACTTTCACAGGCAAAAAACCTCAAAAGAATATGGCAGGGGAGGAACAGGAGGCCAGCATGGTATGCTCAGGGGTCTATGGTACATTCTTAGTCTAGCTCCTCAGGCCAGTTCTGCCATTATGATAGGGGAGAAAGACCCTTTTGGGAGAAGGTGGATCAGATGCGGAGACAGAGACCATCAGAAGAGGACTGACTTTCAGCAGAGAGTTGGCTGCCTCAGGCAACTGGGGGCCTTGACTTCAGCAGGCAGAACATTAGCTATGGGGGGGGGTTGGTTTAGAATAAGGGAGATGGTCAAGCCTAGAACTTTTATTACATTTTAATTTGATAATAGTACTCCCATCTCTCTGGCCACAGATCAGATTAGTGTAAATGACTAACCGAGCTTGTGGTAAAGGCGGAGGATGGCTAGCTGTCTCTATTGCTGAGAAACAGATGTGGGTTTTTGCCATCAATTTTGTCCTTTCTTTAAACAGGCATCAGAACAGATGGCAGTCTGCTTCAGAGTGGTTTCCGGAGAACCACTGCCACACTATATCCAAATAACTGTTTCAGACTTGACTTTTAATTTGGCTCCTACCTTGGAAGCCCCCGCGGAAGGCAAGTGGGAAGCTCTTGGAGGAGCCAGACAACTTAGATTCAGAATTGTCAGCATCATGCAGCCATCTTCCAGTGGCCTCTTCCCACATCCCTGCATCCCATAGAGAAGAGGGTGCTACCTCCTCTATGAGATGTGGACATTTGGGAAAGACATGAGCTTCTATCTAGTGTACACTCTCATTGTTAGTCCAGGAAATGGAGCGTGGAGAGAGATCAGCCTGCCCAGTTCTCACGGCTGTCGTGAGTTCATAAGACTGCAGCTGAGGACTTTGGGCCAGGGAGGTGTTTCAGGTAGGGAGCAGGTAGTTAATACAGAAACTTGGGGTGGGAGCTGACTATGATGGATTGAGGGACAGCAAGGAGACTGGTGTGGCCAGAGTGGCAGGGCTGCAAGAGTGGGTGACATGGGGACTGTTGCAGATGTTGAAGCCAAGGAGCCACATGGTAGACATCACGGGCAGCACTGTGGTGCTGTATTTAGTATAGATGTCCTTATAGGTCATATGGGAGACTCAGGCTATACTGTAGGTGGGAAATGATGGTGGGCATGCTCCAAAGAGCATTTAGGGATCCTGAAGACAAGGGCTCGTTTCTCCATAACTTGGTCTAGTTCAGATTTTGTCCTAAATCTCTCTGCCTCTGATGGACCTATTTGGTGCCAGAATGCCTCCGAGTCCCCTGAGAGGTCATTCCTTCCTGCTGTGCAGGCTCCAAGGCTGTGCCATCTGTTTCACCACTGCACACTTGCTGGAGCAGCGGCCCCTGTACTGCAGGGGCACCCCCCTCTGCTTTCTGCACCAGCACCTGCGGATTATGGCTCCTTTGTGGCAGACTGTAGCGCCGTCTCTCCTTGACACAGGTTCAGCTCTGGTCTCTGGAACCTTTAATGTGCTGCTAATCCATGAGCCCCTGGAACCCTGCTTTCATGGGAGGGATGTTTGGCCTGGAAGTTTCTGTGCTTTTTCAACAGAATGCAGGATGGCTAGGCTTAGGGCATCTGGTGGATGGATACAGGATGATGCAGACCATGGCCAGTCCCAGAGCATTTGCTGAGGTCCAGAGGGGCAGCTCCTGCCCCTAGCTGCTGTGGACAGGGGACCACAGATGGCCCAGCAATTTGCTACACTGTGATGTTTTCAAAGCTCCCAGAGTGGCATGTGCCCCTGTGCTGCTTGCTGCCAGGAAAGTGCCTCAGTGTGGGATTTCTCATTTTGTCTAGCATTCCATTAAAAGCTTTGTGGTAGTACAAACCCCAGGCAGAAATGGCCCTTTTTGTAAATGCCAAGAAAATCACTGGGTTCAGGTGCACCGTGTTTGTAAAAAGAGCCAAACTAGAGTGATTTTTCACACCTGGTGCCTCCCCTTATCCCCAGCGAATGCAACAAAACATTCCAGGGGCAATGAGATAATTTGGTCTGACTATCTTCATGGTCTGTTTCCTTAGAAAAGATGATTTTTAAAATGCTCAGAAGATAACCTTGAGACTCAGAATTTTATTTTAAGTCTCAGACTGCTATGCCACAGTAGCCACCAAAACGACGAATGCGGTTACCCTTTCATGCAGAATTCCAGCTTTTGGAATTTATTTTACAGGATCACTTCCCTGTACAGGAAATGACATTTTCAGCACGGTGTGTAATGACAAAGAGAGCGAGTTAAGTAAACGGTGCCACACCCACACACTGGGACCCTGTGCCACTGAACGTGGAGTCAGCGTGTGCTTTGCTGACTGCGGTGGTGACATTATGAGGATGTGTTATTTCAGTGGAAGAGAAAGAAGCAGAATGGTGCTAATGTTTGCCTAAGAAATGAAGGGAAGTGAGCATACATTTTTATTTGTGTGCTTATGCATAAAGAAACGTTGGAAGGTAGAAAAGGTTGGGAGATAAAAGGAATGGAGTTCATAAAGACAGGACATAGGCCTCTTGGTGTATCCCTTTATGAGACTTTTATTTTTTTTTTTTTTTAGAGGCATGTTTTATTTATTTATTTATTTGTTTGTTTTGTTTATACATGCACTGGGTACAGTCAGAAGCACAGGAGGGTGAGAGAATTCACCAGAGCCAGAGCGGGGAGCAGAGCAGGCAGAAAGACCGAAGTACACTGCTGAGGGGAGCAGCGGGTGGCAGGAGAGGTCTGCGCGCCATGTGGGACCCTCCTCTGGTGGCCGGGGAGCAGCCGGGGATCGAACCGGCGCCGCAGAGGCCGCGGGCAGCTTCGCAACCCAACGCTCAACCACTGAGCCACCAGGGAGGCCCCCTTTATGAGACTTTTAATATTGAAGTCATGTAAATTTTTAACCCTACAAATTTTTTTTAGGTATTCAGTTTGACTTCTGCCCATGATACAGGGACTTGCAAAGAGTTCTGGTAATCATGAAATTTTTGAACACCAACCCATGTCAGGCAGGGACTGGGACGGGGTGGCACCTGAGGGAGAGATGAAGACCAGGGAGCTGCCTTTGAGGTGCTTTCAACCTTGGGGAGGAGGAGGCAGGCGGATCAGTTGTTGGTGACAACAACACATTGTACTGAGAGTCACTTGAAAGGAAAGCACAGGGAGTTAACGTGCTTCCAGGAGGGCTAGTGTGCTTGGGCACTGCAAGTAGTTCAACATTCTGCTAAAGTCACTTCAGCACACCTCCCCTCCATGCTGTTGTCACCAACAACGGAAGTGACTTTAGCGGAATGTTGAAGGTTGGGGAGAAGTGGCCTGATCATAAAGGACCTTAGTTGTTCTGTGGCGGGTGGTGCTTGCTGTGCTACCATCTTCTGTCTCCCTGCATTGAACCTCCCATCTGTACTCTGCACATGGTCTCTTAGAATGAACACTATTTCCCAGTCTGCCTTGCCAGTGGCTATGGTCATTTGATTAAGTCCTGGGATGTGCGTAGAAGAAATGTGTGCAGCTTTCAGAAAGTTTCTCTCAAGTGAGGGAGTGTACCTTTTTTTTTTCCTTTTGCCCTGGCTGCTGGCAGGAATGTGATGCCAGGGATAGAGCAGCTACCTTGGACTTGATGGAAAAGACATATAGAGGCAAGTAGAGAAATAAGATTGAAGTGCCTCCACTTATGAAACAGAAACAAATGCCTGACCTAGACTAAGTCACTACAAGGTTTTCTGGTCCTTGTAGTTAAATTCAGTAGCAATTAACCTGGGTTTTAAATTCCCACTACGCCTTATCCTCTGATTTAGAACTGTGCTTCTAATATGTCTGATGTCCCTTTAATAGCTCTTTTTCAAGCCAGGAACCCTGAGTGTCGCCTGAGAATAGTTATGGTCTGCACAGTGCCTTTGAAGGAACAATACCTTATACCTATTTGCTTGGTTTATGCTTTTTGCAGCATTGAAAAGTCCCTTCTTTAGACTTGATACTATGTGCTTAAATCAAGTCCATACTAGAGTGGCTAAAAGTGTGGGGGTGTAACACCAAATCAAACCTGTCTATGCCACTTACCAGCTGAGTGACTTCAGATAAGTTATTCTCAATAAGTTCCAGTTTTCCCATCTTTTAAAGTGAGGAAAACGATAGTCCTTCCATCATCCCCTTGTTGAGTGGATCAGCTGATAAAGTTCAGGAGGAGTCATTAGTACAGTGCCTGGTGCGTGGTAACTACCTGATCAATACTAACTGCTGCTGTATTTATGGTCTTCCATTTTTGAGAATCTAGCACATTTCAAGCATAGTCTGTCTCATCAACACACAACTCCCTCCAATCCAAAAGTCATGAACAAGTTATATTTATCCTCTCTATTTATAGATAAAAGGAAGTGAAAAGATATTTCCCACAAAGCACAGACACAAGGGGAAGCCAGCTCTACTTATGTTCCCAGACGAAAGACAATACATGTAAAGGATTATGTTCATTGTTCAGCATCTTATAGAGGAAAGGTTTTGGTATTATTTCCTTTACTTTTAGCTAAATGCTGAAATACATGCAGGCAGTAGTAACCCTTCACTCTTGCCCCATTGTTACCATCTACCTCTTTCCCTGGATGACAGAGCAACTCTAGAAGAGAGGGAAGGCCCTTTTCCCCATCACACCCCCCAGCGCCGAGCTCTCACTCTCTGCTGCTCCTTACCTGCCAGCCCCAAATTGGTGCAATAAACAAGAGAAATGATCCCTTCAGATACTTGCTCTCACTTGGCAGGAAGAATGAGGCGGGTGTAGGGATTCAATGTGGAATTGTGAAACTACCCCTCTATGGATGTGTCTCACAGCTGACAGGCAGGGATAAGAACAACTCTGGAAGATACATATTGGATTTGGTCTATATTGCCCCCGATCTCTCTTGCCTAGATTCAAATTCTGGCACTTTCTTTCTATGTGCATTTGGACAAGTTAGTTGAAATCATCTGCAAGTAGGGCTGCCAACCTTGCCTTCACATGGGCGATGCGGCAGCAGGAGAGAGCTATACTTGGAGTGTGTGCTCTGCCAGGGCCTGCTCCATTCAACATGTGATACACGTCTGACTAGATGATGTCTTTCAAGGTCAATGTAAAGTTTCTCCCTCCCTGAATACTTAGTTGAGATTCAATGTTTCTTTATGCACACGTCTCTTCCTGTGCCAGATTATGAGTTGCTCTCTTTTTTTTTTATTAATCTCAGATCTCTTCTGTGGAGCTAAGAGTGGTGTCTGTATCAGTTAGCTTTTGCTGCATAACAAGCCACTTTAAAGTTTAACTTCTTGTGGGTTGCAGCATGGGCTGGGCTTGGCTGGGCAATTCTGGTCTAGGTGAGGCTGTGCTGATCTCAGCCGGGCTCACTCTGTCTCTGATCATTTGGAGGGCTCACTGGGTGGAGGGAAGCTAGTTGATCCAATCATCTTCCAGGGTTGAATGACTGGTGCTCCTTTCTGGTGGCCTCTCATCCCATAGAGGGTGGTACTAGTCTTCCAGTACCCAAGAACACCAGAGAGTACAAGCTCTCTCCAGGTCTCTGCCACTGACCTGTTGTTCTTCTGTTCTGTCATCCAAAGTGAGTCATGTGGCCAAGCCCACAGAGTAGGAGGGGATCCCCAACGGCATGGAGACAGGGATGTGTGAGCAAGTAGGGAGGCCTATTACCCTAACAGTCTGTCACAATGCCTCAGAGCATTCAGAACTGTTGACAAATTGAATGGTTACGGTCTGACCCCCTTTCCAAGCTAGGTAGCTGTCAGAAGTCACTGAGTCTCCACTTTGTTTTCTGAGGCCAGCATCCCAACCACTTTCTGCTTTATCACAGGCTCCATATTGACAACCAAGTGTGAAGTATCTGCCCTCCTTGTTGGCTCCATCTAAGAAGGGGAGGAGTATTCCTTTCCTCACGGGGGGAGGAGTCCATGGATCCATGTTTCAAAATTCTGGGGTTGCCATTCACTTAGTTGTTGGCATGACGTGCTCCCCTGATTACGCTGTGCAACCATATGTGCTGTCCAGGGGCCTTAAGCAGACCCACTCTCTGGTGGATGTGCAGGGTTCCAATTCTCCTGGGGAGCTAGGCCACTGTGCAGTCAAGAGAGAAGGGGAGAACTTGCAAGACTACAAGTTCTTTTATGCTGTAGGAGGGGTGGATCTCTGGAGCTTGGTTTCGTCATCTGTATTCTCAGTTTGCACCAGAGATTCTCAAGTAAGTTTCCTTCCAGCTCTTACCTACTCAACTGTTCACAAGATAAAGAATACTAGTTAAGGCTAGTCTCAAGGGGGGAAGAGTAGAGGGGAAACAGCATTTATCTAATATATATATATATGTACTTTATATGTGTGTGTGTGTGTGTGTGTGTGTGTATGTGTATATATATTCTCTTTGTTAATCTCCATACCCAAAACTCTGATTAGCTCACATTTTGCAGAAGTAGAAACTGGGATTCAGAGAGGATGAAAACCTGAGGTCACACAGATGGTAAATGATAGGACTGGGGTTTGCGCTCTGGTCTGCCTGGCACCAGAGTCCTTCCCCTCTTTTGTGCTACAGCTGAGCCCAGTGAATGGCAAGCAACTTGTCTGTAATATTCTCCCCAAGTATTCTGCAGCACTTGCCCACTGGGTTGCCCACCAGAACAGCAGTTGTCGACATCAAACTGGGCCAGGAAGGGGAGTCTGAGCAGGTGATAAGATGTTTGTCTGGGCATACAAGTGAGGCAACTGCACAGCTGATCACCTCGACTGGAGGGCAGAGTGCTGGCTGAGTGCCAACTTTGTTTGGGGAAAATCGACTGTTTACTGGAGATAATAAAACAGGAAATATTTCAACATTAAGGCACAGGAGTTTTGGCAGGGAAAGATTTGATGGCTTAATGATGAGCACTGGAGGCTAATTTGAAAACAGCAGATATCTCTATCTATACCTAAAATAGTAGACTGAGCTATTAAAATGGAGTGCACCGATAAGCCTAGAGACAATATTATTTAAATTGGATGGGATAGAGAATTCTCAGTACCAGATGATGGTTTTTGTTTCTGTTTAGGATTAATGATGTGGTGCTGTGTCTGTTCAGGTCAACAGCCTGCCAGTGTGGGTAGCACCCTCTGAAAACTCAGCTGACCAGAGGTGGCTGTCAGCCCAGTTGGAGGGTGCTGTGTCTTCACAAAGTTTCAGAGGACAAGACAGAGTGATCAGATCCATGGGGCTGAACCTTCCATCTGTGTGTCCCGTTTCCTCATCTGCCTCAGAAATCCATGCTGTCAATTCTGTTGCCTGAATTGAGGAGGAGAGCTTGGTCAATCTGCAGATAATTCAGCATTTTGACCAGCACTGCTGATGTACTAGTCGGGGTGTGGTATTGGGGTGTGAAAATGAATTAGACACCTTCCTTATCCTGACATACCTGTGGTACAGTCACAGGGCGAAGGCAAGCTGGCAAGGACAGTAGGACAAGATAAGTCATTGGACAGGTTGAGCATGGAAAGCTTTGGCTGGGGAAGCTGGTCCAAATGTGTCCACTTATGAGCTGTCCTGTGAGTGGTGTGGTGCTTCCACCCTGGGCGTGAAGGTGCTGCTAGGGAGCACTGGCTGCCATGGGTGGCTATGTCCTCAGGGCAGAAAGGCGCTTGCATACCAGGGTATGGGGCTTGTCTTCAGGGCAGTCATATCCCTGCCTACTGCCCAGTTCCACTCTGCTGAGGATGCTTTCAGGGGTGAAAGAGCTTAGGGTGGTTGGGACAGACAGAGCATGTGATGGTTTTGGGCCAGCAGGTCTTTCTAATTGGAGTCTAGTATGTGAGACCTTTATTTTATATTTGTTTTAATTCAGAACTGATTTTTTTAATCTAAAATGATACTATTTATTTTGCTGTACTTTTTTTTAAAAAAAAAAGATTTATTTATTTATTTATATAAGCACTGGGTACAGTCAGAATCACAGGAGGGTGAGAGAATTCACCAGAGCCAGAGCAGAGCAGGAAGCAGAACAGATAGAACGACAAAACACACTGAGGGGAGCAGCGGGCATGGCAGGAGAGGTCTGCACCATGTGGGACCCTCGCCAGCAGCCGGGATCTAACTGGCGCTGCAGAGGCTATGCGCAGCTTCACAGCCCAGCGCTCAACCACTGTACCACCAGGGAGGCCCTATTTTGGTGTACTTTTTATTTCATTTTTAATTTTTTAATTTATTTTTTACATCATTGTTCATTTTTAAACAATATTTGCTTCCCCCCCTTCAGGTGTAGTCCTCATAGAATTTCCTTCATTAATGCACCCGTGCACCATCATCTCAGTCCCCCGTGCTCCGCCCTCCCTTCCTCTGATCCCTCTCCCTCCACCTCCCCTGTAGAATGTCTGATTTATAATTGCCTGTTTTTGTTTGTTGTGTTTTGTACTGTTGTTATTTTTTTACACTGATGTCGTATTTGCTTTCCCTATGTGTGACCTTTTCAGGGCATTACAGCCATATTGTGTGTGCAGCCTCGTATCATGCAGGAGGAAGAGCTGGGCCATTAGGGAGAGCCTTCTGGAAGAGAGAACACACTTACAAAAGTGGGGTGAACAGTCCAGGAAGAGAGATTTGTTTGCACAAAGCCCCTGAGTTGGGTGGGGACTGCACTCAGTGGGGGGTGTACAGTGAACTGAGGCAGCTGAGGATATACGTGGGTGAAGCCTTGAATGCCATCCTAGGGAGCTCGGAATACTTGCTGTGGGAGATGACATGCTGTTTAAGTAGCTAATCATAATATTCATTTAGTGAGAACTTAACTCTGTGCTATATCATGTTGAATTTTGTATATATTGCCCCTGAACTGTTCTGCTTAGATTCAAATTCCGGCAATTTCTTTCTATGTGAATTTGGGCCAGTTAGTTAAAATCATCTGCAGGTGGGGCTGACTACCTTGCTTCTCCGACCTTCCCTCTCACCTTTGAAACTAGTTCTGCATTTATGTCTGGCAGAGATGCCCAGATTGATTGAATCTAAGTCACGCTCAGGTCTCTGGATGAGAAGAGACTGAGAAATATAGTTGCTGACATTTGAGTCATTGTGAGGCAGGAAGGAGCAAGGAGAAGCAGGAGTCTGTAGCTTCTGCTAGAGGTGGGGGACCATTTCTTTACTGCTTGGTTTTGTTAGGAAGAGAAAACCCTCCAGGTTAATTCAGAGAGAATGCTCCATCTCCGAACCTCTCCACTATCCATAGTTCCATCTCTTGGCTATATAATTACATGTTAGCCACCTCTCTCTCTCTGTCCTCTAGCAGTCTTGAGGTGTGAGATTTAACTCTTTCCTGTCTTTTCTTTGTGAAGGTGACTTTAGCGTTCTGGTTTAAACTGTTCTTCTGATCATTCACAGTAGCTCATTCCCAACCCACTGGAGAAGCTATTGGACAGTTGGCTGGTCTGTCTTCCCAACATGTCAGGAGCAGAAGGTGATACGCAAACCCCTTTAGGCTCCTCCTCCCTTTGTTATCATTTTTGTTCTCTCAGTTCTATTCCTGGACAGTCTGACTTGATGCAGGCTCTTCAAACAATGCCCTAACAATAGCATTGCATGGCGCTCTCTCTAAACCTGCCTCTGATGGGCAATACATTTCTCACTCCCCTGGTGCAGATGACTGTCTGGTGCTTTTGAACCAGGATCAACAACACATGCTGCTAGTTGGCACCGTCATACACTCACACATACGTAATGTGTGGGGTCTAGCCACTGTCTTCTCCTTTGGCAACCGGAGCATAAACCTTCCAAGATCACCTCAGTGTAGCCCTCGGCAGCAAATAGGGGTGAATGGGAGCTGCCAGGAGCAGCCATGTGAGCTGGTAATGATGAGTATGAGGTTGCGGTGGTGCCCAAGCCTGGCAGCCATCTTGCTATTTCTCCCTAAGTACGAAAATGGCGGATGAGCTGAGACTCATTTGTATTGTTTCACGGGCTCTATGATTCCTGGCTCCAAGTTCTCCTAAAGAGCAAGCTGCATAGGAAGCTGCTCTCTGATCTCTCCGAAGCATTTGTCAGACATCACTTTGCCACTGCAGCTGCTCAGATCATACTTAATCTTTGGAGAAGGGACTGGCAGTTGCTCTTGACAACAGGTTGTGATTGGCTGAGTTCTGCTGACTTTTGCCTCCCTGAGTCCTCAATATGAATTTGTTTTTACTTAGTCTATCAATCAGAGTCCTGCAGGAAACAGATGGAATACTCCAATGGAATAATTGCATAGAGATTATTAAAGAGACTTTTTGTAAAGTGGGAGGGAATGGTTTAGGATTTCCAAGAAGGGAGAATGAAGCACCTTGCTAAGCTGGAAGCTCCTACCTCCCCTGAAGGGCTAAGAGGAGGGGGCAATTCTGAGAACAGGGAAAGTGGTCGTATAGAGAGGATTCCAAGATGTATCTGCTCCAGTGCCCCAGCAGGCAAGGGCTGGGAAGTGAACACCCAAACTTGGCACTACCCCTGCTCCTCAACCTCTTAGCCCTCACTGACCCCACCCAGCCACAACTAGAGAGCAAGGGAACCCATGTGTAGCCTACCTAGGTCATTCTCTTGGGGGATCAGGCAAGGGTACCATGTGGATAGGCAAAAGCAGCTAAAAAGTCACTAATATCTATTGTAGGAATAAATTTACAAG